CCCTAAACTTAATCTTAAAAGCCATAACCTTACCGAACAGTGGAAATTTACAGAAAAAGCAACTAGGTGATAAGCAGAATACTGTATCTATCCTCTCTAAATCCAAGAACGGTGGGCATAATTCGATTTGGAACGTTTCATAGCCTTCATTATGGATAAGATTTTCTTTTGATAACTCATACAGTGTTACACAGCAATAGTAGATTCCAGAAATACCCCTACTTATGAATTATCAAAACACTTAGCTCTAATATTATGCCCCATTAGAAATCGTTCAAACTCTAGACTAACTAACTAATTCATATGAAATGAAAAATAAACTAAATGACATTCAACTAGAGAATGATGAAACAATGGTTAGTTTTGATATAACTAGTCTTTATACTAATATACCAATCAATATGGTAGCCTTAGAAGCAGTTAAAAGAGAACTAACTGCAGATCCTGAACTCACTCATAGGACGAAGCTACCCATTGAAGAAATTATTTTAGGAATTCAATTATGCCTCACATCTACTATCTTTAAATTCCAAGGCGAAATATATAGACAAACAGAAGGTGTAGCAATGGGATGGATCACCAATATCCCCTATCGTAGCAGATATCTTTATGGACACCTGGGAAAATATTGCTCTTAATACATTTAATCCTACTCCAAAAATATGGTGGAGATATGTGGATGACACTTTTGCAGTGTTGAAAACAGAACATATCTCTAGCGTCTCGACATATATAAACTCTCTAGTAAAGGGAATAAAACTCACATTTGAATCGGAAAATGAACAACGAGAATTAGCTAGCTGTGTTAGATTGTAAAATAAAACGAATTGAAGAAGGTAAAATGTACTTTAGCGTTTATAAAAAGCCAACGCATTCTAATAGGTATTTAGACTTTAATTCATCTCATCCGTTAACTGTTAAGGCAGGCTTAGTTAAGTATCTAACAAACCGAGCAATAGCACTAAGTAGCACAAGAAAAGACCTAAATGATGAAATAAAACAGATAGAAGAAGCGTTGGTGTTAAATAACTACTTCCTATGAAATTCATTAGGAAGATCGAAAAAGGCCAAAAGCAAAATAAAAATAATTGTGAAACTAATAATGATAACATAAATAAGAGAGAATATAAGTCATCTACTGTTATACCATATAAGGAGCGGACATCTGAGACAAGACCTACGTAGGATTCTTAATAAAGCAGGAATTAGACTGGCATTCAAACCTACAAACTCACTCAGAGACAAGCTCTGAAGGCTAAAAGACCCGGTGGACCCAATTAAACAAAATAATATAATTTAATAAATACCTTGCAATGACTGTGAGGTCAACTATATGGGTCAAATTAGTAGATCGGGGATAATCAGATTATCGGAACATAAGAATTTAGCTAAGGTAAGAATGGTTGACCTCAAGTTTTATACTTATGCTTCATAGCCTTCCCTAAATTTGATTGGTCCTTGAAGGTCAACTTTTAACAGACCATGACTTCAGTTATAAAATACTTTAACCTCGCCCGTCGACCTTAAAACTTCCGCCTATTCTTTCCTTTACCTCCTTTTTCATCTCATGTATACATAACCTCATTGTTTCCTATCTGGAATAAAATAAAATTTTTCGGTCTTTAAAGTTCATATATACTTCATGAATAATCCCCATCCAGGCAATAATGAAAACAAAACATGTAGTTCAGCGAAGAGTCTGTTTTCGGCGACGAATTCATTTCCCCCCTTAGCTGTACAATAGCAAATATATAAATATGGGTTATTTTGTATATATGTGTACATTAAGTTTGTCAAACAAAAATATAATTGGTTATGGTTATTTTAGCTAAGCAGGTGAGAATTAGTAAGTTTTGGGTGGAGTTACACAATACAAAAACGGTCAAGAAAATTGGGTGTTAATGAAACTAGAGTAGTAACAAAGGTAAGAATATGAATAGTTTGATGATTGAGTTGTACTCAGGATGCACATAGAAACAAAGTAGAGAATATGAAATTACGTAAGAGTTCTAAATGAATATACAAGAATTGTAAGCAATTAAAGAAACAAGCAAGAAAACAAAATTAAGTCATCAAAAATCAACAAAGTTATTACCATGACAGTAGAAGTGGTTGAGTAATTCTCTTTTGTATGCACAGCTCCGGTTTTCCTATGTGAATGAATGGCTAGAGCTTCAGCGATACAAAGAAGACGAAACTGTATTGCCTTTGGTAGGTTATTCTTGAATCTGTAGATTACTTTGAAGCAGGAGGAGGCCTTTGTTGGAATGGAAGGATCAGTGTTAACCAGGTTTTCAATTATCGCACTCCTTTAAAGCACCAATATTGCCTTTTCGCAACCATGCTGGCTGGATAGTGTTCTTGAATCCTCTTGGACAGGATGCGCGTCGAACGACCAGTGTACCTGGCTGGCTCCACAGCAGCAGATGAACTGATATATGCACATAGAATTGGTCAGATGCGGGATCTTGTCCTTAAGGTTTCTGCAGATCAGTGGGCGACTGGAGAACAATATTCTTAGCGTTACTGCAAAGAATGTTCTTCTCAGAGATGATGCGATCCTTCTCTTGATAATTCGCTTGTTAAAAATCTCCCTTGAAATCTAAGTTCATGTAGAGTTTCTTTTTCGGCGCAAGTGTACACATACATACAAAATAACCTATATATACTTGCGATTGAACTGACGAGGATATCAAAGCGAGGATCAGCAAAGCAAGGCAAGCTTTCATTACTCTCAAGTCTCTGTGGAGGTCAACAGCACTCAGCATGAAAATGAAAATGAGATCCGGATTTTCAACTCTAATGTGAAGTCAGTGCTGCTATGTGGATCACAGACCCCATGCGCGTCACAAATGATACTTCGAAAAAACTACAAACCTTCATCAACAGCTATCTTCGCTCAATACTACTAAAGATCAGATGACCGGCCAGAAAAGATCAGCAACAGGGATCTTTAAATAAGGGAACCAACCAAGCAGGAACCAATTGTGCAACAAATATACAGGAAGAAATGGAGGTGGATTGGCCATACTCTGAGAAAAAAAACCATCAAGTGACATCACACGTCAGGCCATCGCTCAAGTGGGACCCGAATGGGAAGCGGCGAGTTGGTCGTCAGTGCGAAGGTGACATGGAGGAGGTCATGTGAAGAGGAGATGAAAGCATGTAGGCAGACGTGGAGCTAGGTGAAAACGTTGGCGGAGAACCGAATGCAATGGAGACGTGCGGCTGAAGCCCTATGTTCCTGTAGGAACTAAAAGAAACAATAATAATACTTGCAATTGTACAGACAAAGGGGAAAATGAACCCACCGCTGAAAAAAGACTCTTCTCTGAACTACGTGTTTTACTTTTCATATACATACTTGTCTTATTAACTAAAAAACTATCTACATTTATTAGAGGAATATAAACTGAATCAACTATTCATCTCCACGTGGTCGTTGATAAGGGCATTATTGATCTTTTTAAACGATATATATATTTGGCAGCTGACTTTCATATGACGACCTGATTAAGGACATGAAAATGAACTTTTATTTTATTTTTTTGTGGATTTCTTTAGAATATGTATTTTTATTAGTTTTTACTGGCACTCGTAGGGGAGGGGGGAAGGCGAAGGGGGTTTGAGGTGAGGGTGAAGAAGAAGGCGGTTAAGACTTTAATCAAAGCTGATTCTAATATTAATAGTAATGTAAAATGATGCTGTAATGCAGAGAGAGAGAAGAGGAATTCGTTATTTAATCTGGAATTTAATCTGGTAAACGTACATATACTAATGGTTGGATAAATCAACCTAACACACTGAAACTGTAATTCCCGAGAAGTTCTACTCTATTTTTGCCTACATTTCATGCTTTCTGCATTGACTTACTTATTCGTCTCCCTCTCTCGCCTATTAAGGAATCTATCTATATTGATATTATTGTTGCTTTGGGTTCCAAGAAGAACAAGCGGTTTCAACAGCACACCTCCACTTTGTCCTATTTTCTGCTGTCCTCTTTAACTGAGCCCACAACTGCTCATAATCTCCGATCGCCTCCTCCTCCTCAAACGATTTCCTCGATGTCACCCTGGGACATACACCTGACTCGTCGTTTTCCACTCAGGTTGCACTCCAGCGATGTCATTTGACGGTCTCCTCAGTGGCGCGTGTCCAATTCACCTCCATTTTTTCCTATATATTTTCCCGTTGATTGAGTGGACCGAAGTGCTCGGTCTACTCAGGTTGACATGTCGGCTTCTTGTGCAGATGCTTCGACGATGTCTGGGCATGTAATTAGAAGTTAATTGGTGGATGGTGACTAGCAGTGGATGGAATCCAGGATAAAGCGCATTTCGTCCTATTTGGCTCTCGTGGTGTTTAAAACTATGGGCACTGGGTTCAAGCCTCATTGGGGGGGGGGACATCATCACTGACTCACTGGAGAATGCAGGTACATCCAGGGACTGACGACTCCCAAATAGGACGAAATCCACGTTATCCTGGATTCCATCCACTACTAGTCACCACCCACCAATTAACATGCTTAGTTTGTTCCACTCCAGAGTTTCTTGTTACTGATTCCTTCTGGCCAGCCAGCCATCCATTAGATCTACAGTATGGAGCCAGTGAAGGGGTCAGCTGTTGGTAAAATTCTGCACTGGAAGTATTGGAAATGCTTGTCGTCGTGACTTGAACTACGTCATACCATAAAAAATATACAACTTGCACTTTCTCTCATTGATTTCAGGATTTTATAAGAATGAAGTATTATTAATAAAAAAAAATTTTTATCAAATGATGATATTACAACACAGCCTTAAGAACAATGGCTATAAATTATTGTGAAGTTACAAAGTTCTCATTTGAAGGATTTGCTAACTTCTTATTGGCTAACCGAATTGTTTGTTTACTTATGAAAATGAACCAATCAGATCAATCCCTAGTTGAATTTTGATTGGTTAAAATGGTATACTACATAAAGGAAATAAAAATACTTGACATAATAGAGAAATAGATATAGATAGATAGAGAGGGAGAGAGAGAGAGAAAGAGAAGGCTATAGAATAGAATTTTAGTCCTTAATCTGACCTTTATATGGACATTTTTTCAAAGTACATTTATTATGTATATATATATGTGTGTATATATATTTAGAATTTACACAACGAATGATGTGATCATTAAGAATAAAGGCGTATTTTTCTAAAAGTGAAGAATGTGATATTAAAAGTACTCATGATTACTTCTCAGGGAGAAAAAATGAAGTTATGTAAAAGCCACAGAAATATTTAAACACACACACACAAAAAAATACGTATAATTACAGTTGAGTAAACTTTCTCATTTTTATTTTTGTAAAAGAATTATGGAATTACACATTGAAGGAAAACATTTAGCCTCTTTAAAAGAGAAATAGAAATAGATCTACGTCATGTCATTCAAGTGATATCAATTCATTAATTAAATGTTTCAACTGATGAGATGACAGATATTCCAAAACAGTGTTCGCTACCAACAGGAACGTCAACACCAACGCCAACACCAACGCCAGTAGCAACAATTACTGCAAGTCGACTTCCACATTCATCCACTTATTTAACTGGTATCGATGAGGATACAAGAGGTGAATCAGTCCACTCAATGATTGATCTTCAACATTTTCATCAAAAACAGCACAATTCATCGATTAGTACATGTGCTGTACCGTTAAATGTATGCTGTGTCTGTGCCAATGAAGATGGTTTACAATCACTGCATTCAGAGATATTTGTAGTTTGTGCTTCACCAGGCTGTAAATACAGTAAGTCTAAAATGTGTGTTTAAATTGTTTTTGTCATTTTTGTGGTTTTGGTTTTAAATCTTTCTGTTAATCTGTAACACTTCGATTTTGACTTGTGATTGATTGGACACTGAAGTGCTTGGCCTCAGGTTGATGACATGTTGGTTCCTTATGCAGATGCTTCGACAATGTCTGATTGTTTAACTTAAAGTAGATTATTGGTGGCTGGCGATTAGCACTGGAATCCAGGACAAAGTGTATTTCGTCGGATTTGTGACTCGTTAGTCACTGGATGTACCTGAATTCCCCAGTGAGTCAGTGATGGTGTTCCTCCCCCCCCCATGAGGCTCGAACCCAGTGCCCATAGTTTCAAATGCCAAAGCGTTATCCATTAGACCAGTGGGAACACCATCACTCATTGGGGAATGCATGTAAGTCCAGTGGCTGACGAGTCCCAAATAGGACGAAACGCGCGTTAACCTAGATTCCACTTCTAGTAACCAGCCATCAATTTACTACAACACTTCATATTGGAACTTGAAATATATATGTATAATGGTCTAAAATGGCAAACTGTAACCCAGGTGATTAGGATTCCCTCTGATTAATACGCGTTGTTTTAAAAAACCACAGTATTCTTCACTATCTATTACACAATTTTTGGTCTTACAATCATTTTTTAAAGAGATAGTCTTTCATTTACAGGTGAATAGTCAATTGAAGTTATGTTTGCAACAATAAAAAATAAAATATAAAGAACATCTATCTGTTTCTAATATTTCTGAATTCCAGGAATAAACACGATTAGATAGTGTAGGTGTTTTGAACAGCTCCGTAAAAGATTATACGCCTTTCAGGATTTCATTATGAGCTGACATCGGTTAGACAACCACTGGAAAACCTTGGAGTACTGGACAGCTGTTTCGTCAACCTAGTTTGGGACTCTCCAGCAGTACGCAACCACCCCAATGCTGCTAGGGTTCGAACCCACGATCTACCGGTTACGAAGCGAACAAGCTCGTAGACCATTAAGCCATTGAGACCCAATCCAATGGCTAGCCCACAAAATTTCACCTTCCGCCAATTCACGCACGATATAGCGCGACTGGCACTGGCTAATGTCATTGCTGGCGAGTATATGTCCTCACTCCCGCACGACCTGCTGCACCTTACTGGAATCCAGGTAACTACCTACCTGAATAGGGTCAGTCGCTAGTGAGCATTAGATTAATTCTCAAGTGATGGGTTGCAGGGATTAGATTGGTTACATGATGAAATCCTGTGACCAGTCAAATCGCTGTAAACCCACACTAGAATCTTTGCTTTTCAATCACTTTCAGTATAATTCTGCATACTTTGATCTGGGGAAGTAACACAGAGGTTTTAGCAAATATAAAGGCGCAGCTGTCTCGTCCTGTTACGGAACTATCACATCTGAATATATACCTGCATCCCTACTGAATGATGGGACTCGAATTTCAGCGGCCAGCCTTTCAAAAATCAGGGCGTCATTCACTAGGCTACTGAGTTACGATAGCTACCTATTGTCCAAGGGATCTGATGTCTTAATAAATGAAATAATTAGCCTGAATCTTCCATCGATTCCTTTTATTCGACTGAAATGACTGACATTTGTTGACATGTCGACTTAGAATACGAAGGATTTGATGATTGAAACTGACCAACTTCATGATATTTTTAATTTATGGATCTAGTAACTGTCTTCCATTGTCCTTTTGCTAACCATGCCGGATAATGTTCAGAGATGCGTTTGGAATGTGTGCACTTTGCGCAGCCAATATAACTAGCTCCACAGGAGCAGGTGAATTTATAAACACACACTGAAGTGACCCAAAATGGCGGTAGTTTATCCTTCACACCTCCGCTGAATAAGAATAAGAAGGATACAATCGACGGGGAACTGGAGCGACTCAGACAAGTCCTCATCGAAAATGAATAAAGCGAAAGCCAGAAATAACCCAAACTGCTGTTCATAGATGCTGAATTTAAAGGTGATACCGCTGCTGAGATCCTGAAGAATCACTTATGCAGATCACTGAGAAAAGCCTTCTTTGTGGCTGAGGTACGGATCAATTTCTACGGCCGACAAATGATCAATGGATGTGTGAAGGATAAACTACCGCCATTTGGGCCACTTCAATGTGTATTTAATTTATGTTAAAAATTGCATACACTTACTATTTTGGCATAAGTAATATGTCAACAGTCGACTTTATCTGTGTTTGTTTGAAGGTGTTTATGGCTGGGTTCAAGTACCAAGGGGAACCCGATCCCTGTCTAGCAAACAGGTTCATCTAGCTGATGAGCCGCCAGTAGGACGAAACGTGCGTCCTGCATTCCACTGCCATCAACCAGCAGCCAATAATAATATACGATAATTCATTCGATTCAATCATTTTATACGTCGAAAATTTTCTGACAACTGACATAAAAGAATTATTCCCCTTTACCATATTAGTGAAGCAATATGGCAGTAATGTATATATTTCAAATGAGTAATGTTGATTGGTGCCAATGTTCTCTTTTTCTCAAGTTTAGTAGAAACTGGTGAATTAGCAGGTTTTATACACTTTAAATACACGCGAGAGTAAATAATACGATTAGAGGTCATATTTCAATCGGTTAAAACAAAGTGAACGAGATAAATTATATGCAATATATTGATGGAGGTCTTTGGTAGCCCAAGTTTTAAGCAGGCCTCCGAACCAGCCTCCACCCACTTACTAGACATGCAGCTCTTGCCATCTTGTTTTTATTCCTTTACGTTCCCAGTGGGACATAGGGTTTCAAGCTAGAGACTTGAAGTTTCGGTAGCAGTGGTGTTTATTTTTACAGCGTGGGGCTGCTAACCTCACGCGCAACCTTCCATCTTTACCAGTTTTATTACTGGCTTAGCGAGGTAAAGGAGGAGTGCCTCCAGTAGCCGGGGATCGAACCCCGAACCACATGCATGGTTGGCGAGCATCCTACCGCTGTGTCACCAACGCACAACTTGGCATCTGGGTTACGAGAATCAGTTGTTAACAAGGTCAACATTTCAGTGTAATCATTTTCATATTGAATTCCGCAGCTGTTATGTGAATGAATGAGTGAATATTACGATAATGTGAGTTCATCACACACGAACACACTCAAACTAGATGTTCAGCTAAGTCTTCCCCTATTACTATCATTGAATTCCGACCCAAGTGGCTGAGAGGATAACGAACTTGGTCCCTGGCAGGAGTGGGACGTAGGTACAAGTTGCTGAACAGTCTCAAAATGGAGTGAAACAGCCGTCCAGGGCTTTTTGCTTTCCAATGGCCTCTGTAACTAATGTTGGCTCATGATGAAATCTGACATTTGAAATTAAACTGTCAGTATGTGGTCCGGGGTTCGATCCCCGGCCACTGGACGCACTCCTCCCACACCTCGCTAAGCCAGTATTAAGACTAGTAAAGAGGGAAGGTTGGGCATGAGGCTAGCAACCCCAATCCGTAAAAATAAATACTACTGCTACCGAAACTTCAAGCTGCTGTCTTGAAGCCCTATGTTCCATTGGGAACGTAAAGGAATAAACAAAAATTGATTGTAGTTCATTTAGTTTATTGTTTTGAAGTATATTCCATACTTGTTTCATATCCATGATTATTCAATCACTTCTCAGTAATTATAATAAAGGAGAGTTTTATCTGAAATTTCTTAAAATTATTGTAGGAATTTGATATCTTTTATGAATATAACTGTGGATGAAGTAATCTTAACAACCGCTAGGCTATGTTATTTCATTCTCAGGAAGTACGAAACAGCACCCTGTCTTCGTGACTGCTAGATGCATCCGAAACATATTATTATTAGTGTTCCTTTGGGCTCCGAGTGAAACTTTGCCTTATTCTCTGCTGTCCTCTTTCAACCTGGCCCCACGATTGCCCATAACTTCTCATCTCCTTCATGTCAACCTCGAACCAACGGCCAACTCATCGCTCGCTTTCCATTCACCTTTCATTCGAGCGATGACTTGCATTGGGCGCGATGTCATTTGACGGTCTCCTCAGTGGCGTGCGTCCAATCCACCATCTCCATTTCCTCCTACATATTTAGGGAACGATAATTTCTTTGTTGGTTTGTTCATTGCCAGAGTTTCTTGTTACTAATTCTTTCTGGCCAGCCAGCCAGCCATTTGATCTTCAACATGGAGTCAGAGAAGGTGGCAGCTGTTGATAAAAGTCTGCGCTGGCCTATTGGAAATGCTTTTCGTGACCTCACCTAGTTTACTGGCACGCTGGTTTTCTAGCTGGTTCCATGCTCGGGTAAAGAGGGGAGGTTTTTGTGTGGGGCTAGCGATCCTACCCCGGGAATACCAACCAAACCGCTACAGAAACTTCAGCGCACAAGAAAAATATTAAAAAGTACGAAACACAAATAATACTCAATTGATTTCTAATAAAATTTCCTAAGTGTTTTTTTTTCAAATTTTTTAATTTCTTTACGTGCCCAGTGAACACAGGGTTTCAAGCTAGACGCCTGAAGTTTCGGTAGCCGTGGTATTTATTTTTACGGGATGGGGTTGTTAGCCTCATGGCCAACCTTCCCTCTATACCAGTATTATTACTGGCTTAGCGAGGTAAAGGAGGAGTGCGTCCAGTAGCCGGGGATCGAACCCCGAACCACATGCATGGTTGGCAAGCATTCTACCTCTGTGCCACCAACGCACTCAGTTAATTTCTATTAAAACCTCCTAATTTTATTATTGATTTAATGGTACAATGCTCGCTGTCAGTAACAGGCCAGCTCCGGGTTCGACTTCCAGCCGTCACACTCTTAAACGCTCACCAAATGGCCAGTAAGCAGGGAAAAATACGTCGGAAAACTCACAATCCCAACTCCGAAAAATTAAAACAATACCACTATTTCATACATTTATTCCCCTTAATGAATTTGAATAAAGCAAGAACAACAGTGGTTTTTCCAGAATAAAATGGTACCATCATAATTTATTTCGTTGGCTTCTCATCAGCTGC